ACATTTATAATAATACATTTATAATTGTAATATTTTTTATAGTTTATGATCATTATATTATATTATATTAATTTTATATTATATTATATATAAAACAAGCCAAGCAATATAGTTCATAATCCTAACTGTTGCCTCAATGACTTTGAACATGCCTTGTCAAATCAGAATTTTAAGTTGAATAATTTTAAACAATATAAAGATCATATTTAATTATTATAGATAATATTACATTATTATGCATATTATCTTATTATAATTATAATATATTTATAGTTTATGATCATTGCTAAATATTATTTGTAATATTGATGTGAAGCGGTCATTTTCATCCTATTTACTGTATTTATTTGCGCTTGGCCAGTGTTGTTGTGGATTTTGGTTATTTTCCTTTTGTAGGCTGTAAATACCTTTGAAATAACTGAAATCATTTATAATATAATATAATATAATATAATATAATATAATATAATATAATTTATATCATATTATTATGTAAAATAATATTTCTGCCAAGTAATATAGTTCCTTATCCTAACTGTTGGCTCGTTTCATAGTGATTTTGAACATGGATCGTCAAATCAGAATTTTGAGCTGAATCATTTTAAACACTACAAAATTATATTTAATTAATATAAATTTAAAAGTATTACAAATTATAATAAATTATAATTTTTTTTATGTCATTTTCATATTATATTATACATTTGTAATTATAATATATTTATAGTTTATGATCATTTCTGAATATTATATTATATTATATTATCCTAACTGTTGGCTCGTTTTACAGTGATTTTGAATATAGCTTGTCCAATCAGTTGACACTATCAATTTTATAACAGGAAACTCTTTTGTTTAGTATTGTACAATTATATATTGCATTTCTGATCATTCCCAATCTATTAACATAATTCCACATGTGCGATCACTACCTTACCATGCAGGGCAAAGAGGCACGGCGGTCAGCTTTGTTGCGTGAGGGCCTTCTAAAACTTCTCTTCCTATCTTTGGCGTGCTCCTCCCCTACCCCGTGCCCCCAGTAGCTGCTCATCCACTTGGTGAAGTTCCCATCATCGTCCTCGTCATTGTCCATAATAAGCGCGGGAAGCAGCCGAAGAGACAGCTTGGGAACCGGTGTGCGGAGCTCTCGGTGAGGCTCCTGTCTCCTGCAAAGAAAAAACGCACCAGGGTGCAGCCGGCGTACAATGATCCAGCTGGGTCAGGCGGGGCTGCTGCTGCTGTTGTCCTGGAGCTTCTAAGGAACTCTTTCGTGGAAGGCAGTGTGAGGTCCAGACTCCAGACTGTGTATGATGGGCTGGGCTTGGCTTGGCGGTAGGTTGTAATTAGATAGAGAGAGAGAGAGAGAGAGAGAGAGAGAGAGAGAGAGAGGATGGTGTTTTGGGGTTGGTGCTCTGCTTTTAATCTTTCCATTACAGAGTGATGGGCCTGGGGGTGGGAGTTAGTCTCACACACTCTGAGCAACTCCAATTCTCCCATACTTTCCACTCACTGAGCACATCAAACCTGTCAATAATTATGGACTGCTGCAGGCGAGAACCAGTATGTGTTGAGAGTCAGTGTGAGTGTGTATTTATGTTTCAGTACTGTCTGCAATGAGTAAAATAAGGCTGCCAATCGATGCAGATGGCATCTATCGAATGCAATGGCTAGACTTTGTTCTAATCATAACAAATGCTTTGTAGTATAACCATTAGGGCAGTAATATCAGTTGGGTAACACTTTACTTGAAGCCTTTGTGTATAATTTATTATATAGGCATTTATAATGTATGTTGTAAAGCATTATATCTTTTCATAAATAATTGTAACCAAACTTAAGATACATTTTAATGTTTGCAGCATTGGACCCCATTGACATTGACTTATTGTATGGACTTTATTTTTTTAAATGATTTCTTCTTTGGTCTTGCATAGAAGAAAGAAATATGCATACAGGTTTAGAACAAAATGAGGGTGAGTAAATAAGGACATCATTTTATTTTTGTGTGAACGATCCTTTCAACGCATCACAGAATCCAAAATTAGGATGAATCATAAATAATTATGTCTGCCTATATCAAGCTCCACTGTATATTTGCAAAATGCACAACATTTAGCCATTCACAAATTAGCCTCACATTCCAAATGTTGCAGCTGCGTGTATTTTCCCATGTATTTTCAGCTGACCCCATTTTAGAATATGATAAAACCCCTCCCCTTCAGGAAGAAGCAATCTAGGGCACACAGCAACCACCCCCAAGCCTCGTCTACTGTCCTGCTCCAGTTGTTCCCACCGCTGGACTCTGGGGCAGCAGAGCGTACAGTATGAGAGGACAGAGACACTGATGATACACAACACCTGTGGCCATGTCCGTTTGATCCTTGCCCTTGGTGTTGTTGTGTGAACTCTGTGAATTCTGGGTCACTATATGCCTATTTACTTATTTTATTCCTTGTGTTCAGCAAGAAATATTACCTTCATTAGTTATGGTTGAAACAGAATGCAATACAGCATAATTTTAAAGCTTGTTTTAAAATGATGCTGAATAAAAATATTATGTTCAAAAGTGTTTAATATTTTAATGATGGATATTTATAGTTTAACATTTCTGGGACAACGTTAAAAAATGGAGTAATTTGATTAAAATAGAGTGAAAGAGCACACACACACACACACACACACACACACATCTTACACTCATCAAGGCTGCATTTATTTGATAAAAATACAGTAAAAACAGGATTATTGTGAAATATTTTACAATTTAAAAGAACTGTTTTATATTTTAATATATTTTAAATTGTAATTTATTCATTTTATAAATAAAAAACGGAATTTGCAGCAATTACTCAAGTCTTTAATGTCACCTGATCCTGCAGAAATCATTCTAATATGTTGATTTGGTGCTTTGGAAACCAGTTGTGAAACCAGCTTAATATTTTTGTGGATTCTTTGATGATTATAAACTTCAAAAGAACAGCATTTACTTAAAATCTAAAATCTTTGTAGCAATGTAAAAGTACGTATATGTGTGTGTGTGTGTAGAATTATAAGAATTGAAAATTATTTTATAATTTAACATCAGCAAAAAAAAAAAAAAATCACTGACTTTCTTGTAGATATAAAATTTTCTCAACAGTTTTTTTTTAACAAAAGCAATATGAGAATGTGTAAAAAAAAAAAAAAAAACATTCTAACTTCTTATCCAAATTGCAGGCAATACTGTAAGAAGAAACTGTGTCCTTACATACATCAACACAAGTTGTTTCTAATCAAAGAAATCTAAATGACCATCTCTTTTGCAATTCAAGGACCTTAATCTTCTTATCCTGCCATCCCATGCAGGTATTCGCATAATTTAGATTGTAACACGGGTTTAAAGTTGATTAATCGTGTTGTAGTGGATAACAAGTAAGAGGTCTTTCAGGGTTGGGTTGAGTGTGACCAAATACAACATCTTCCTGACAAAAGGAGCAATTGAACATGGATAAATGTTGAACATTATTACAGTAAAACAGTCTTGTTCCCAGTTTCAGTGCAAACTTTTGTGCATGAAGCAACTGTTTATTTGATATAACGTCCCCCCTGTTTGTGGTTCTATTTCAGGTGTTTTCATACACTAAAATAGTCCTTATTCCATATTTTCCCATCTAAAAAAAGCAGAGAGGACAATATTTGTTCTTGGTTGCTAAACAGAGCTCTGAATAATGAACTTGTGGTCCAAAAAGGACAGAGTGCTTCTAAAATTGGAGCCAATCCTGTTGTGTTCTGTCACACGCAGTATAAGTAATCGTCTCTAGAGGAGGTCACCTACACACTCCGAAGCTTTGATGACAACAGCATTTACATGTGGAAATGAACTCCTTTAAATTATTATTCACTCTATGTACAGAATATAGGAGTCAATACTGAAATTGCCATTTACAATACTAGTTTATACTAGTAGTTTATACTGTACTCTGTCCGTACAGAACTGGATCTAGCTGCTGTGTGTACATGGCCTGAGAGTGTTTATTAGGCCTTAGAAGACCCCATGACACAGTTTACCGCAATGAGTGAGGAGAAAGTGAGAGTGTCTTATGAGGATAACCACTGTCCTCAAGGTGTCTATTATTGAAACAACGTGGTATGTAATATTAATATATTTTCAGTGTGTTCTTCAGATTTTGAGTTTTGAATGGCCTTAACCTGGATTCACTGAAAGATGTGTGAAGAGACCCTGGCTCTTTTCTAGGCTGAATGCATACAGGGAGACAGCCTTGGTCTCATAACTACGTTACTAGCACAAACACAAATTGATCATGTCTCGTGTTCTAGCTAAGAGCTATGATTGATCTAAACTTGTTATGGCAGTGTGCATTCAATTGACATTTTACATCATGTGTCAACCAGAGCACCTAGATACAGTGTAGCAGAATTTTTTTGACTACTGAACATGCTCACTGTTTTGAAATCTGATTTTTGAAAATGTAAAATCAAACCTGTATTTTAATCAACACATCTATGAGGAGCCTATATTATAATATAATATATAAACTAAAATGTACATGTATATGCGTGTCCAATACATAATTACCAGCACCCCTAGAATTTTATTTTTATTTATTTATTTTATTTGGTAATTATTTGTGTAATTTACTAGCAATTTCTGAGTGAAATTTTGTTTTTACACTTTTTCCCCCCACTTTCATACCCAATAGGGCAGTCTATAATATATCAATATCAATATCGTGGCATCATCCAAAGCATGTCATAAGCACATGCAGTGGGCCTGAAAAAGGTGTCTATACACTATTCACAGACCAGAACCAGAAAGAGCACCACCAGTTTAATAAAATTTGACCTTGCCAACTGAAGATACTCAAGGAGGAAGATAATGCACTCAGTACAGTCTTTGTTCAACTGACAGGGGACATTCATTACAGAAATTAATGCATTCCTTCTTCAGCTTACCTTCACCAGTGAGGATGACTGAAGTTTTAGTTCTACAGTCATTTTGGTAAATCTCAAGTTAAAGACTGAGATATTAAAGCAGCACTATGTAACTTGGAGCTCTAGCGGTTAATAAACAGAACTGCACACATCCCGCGCAAGAACATTCCAACCGGAGCTACTTCTCTAAGTTTATGTCAATGGCGATTCACGCAGGTATGTGTTACTCCGCAGCGGTGACGACCCGACCAGGCAACAATAGTCCAAATATAAGTATTTATTATAAATGTACCGCAGTGATTCGGAATAAGACAAAAACGCGGTTTGGAAGATGAATTCATGATTTACTCGCTCATTATATACATTTTGAAAATTTTGAACACAGAAAAAGTTACATAGTGCTGCTTTAAAGCCAGTTGCTCAATAGCATCTACTGTATGCTGTACACTGTCTGATTTGCCCCTCTAGTGGAATTCATTTGTACTGCAATCATCCAAGTAATCTCAGAGGGACATTTGACTTGATTGAGTCGTATAATATCTTACTTTATTTTTGTGCTTAGTAGGTTTCATTACCCTCTTAATAGGCAAATATATTAATAAATAAAGAATGCTTCATTTAAAACTAAGGAGCACACATTTAAGAAATACCATGTCTAGGACATGCCACTTACAGCTACTTTATTTGTGAGTATATATGTGATTTAGAAATCTTTTATTTTTGGTCGTGTTCTATCTTTTCTGAGCTCACTGTAGCAAAAATTGTGGTTAAAGTTTGTTATCCTCCAAGTATATTGCATAAAAAATGTCACATCTGTACATCATGTCATTTCTTAGTATAAATAAAAAGTGGTACAATTCTGTGAACAGAGAACATAAACATGAAAATAAACTAAGCCTTGTGTGTGTGTATGTGTGCATGCTTAGTTTCTCTTTCACTTTTTAATTGCAAATGAACTGCACTGCAGTGAAATACATTATAAATCGAAAAGGAAAGGGTAAAAATACAAACAGATAAAAAAAGAACACCTCAATCAGCAAGTAAGAAAGATAAGATAATAGTCCTTAAGAAATGTGTTGTTATTATTATTATAATTATTTTTAAGTTATAGTAGATTTTATAGTAAGGGAAATCTCAGCAAGAAACACTTCAAATATAGGCAAAGTAAGATATTTGTGAAAAAGAAATGAACCATATACTGCTAGAAAAAAGAGACATTTTTAATCACATTTTATAAAAGGAGATAGATAGAGAAGTTTGATGACGAACACCGGAGCAGAAGGTGGCGGTAATGCACCTAATTACGCTGGTTGCCAGCCGCCGTTAAAAGCCAAGAAGAAGAAGAAGAAGAAGAAGAAGAAGAAGAAAAAGACGAAGAAGAAGAGGAAGTTTGATGACAGTTAAAAGTCCTTGGCTGTGTCCGAAATCACCCCCGTAGGGAATAGTGAATGAGGGTATAGGGGGCGATTTCGGACACAGCCCTTATGTCTTTGATCTTTGCTGACTTTTATTTTGACAGCATGACGTCACGTTGTGGACCAGGAACTACTTTCCACTCGAGCAGCGCTTGACACTGGTGTTCGCCTGTATGCTATGCCCTTGTTAGCCACGCAGCTAACCTAAGTGTCCCATTTGGAAAGATGAATTGAAATTTATATCAGAAAGAGATCTGATAGACATTTATATTTGCCATTAGTTGCTAATAGCAGGATGTTACGAGCCGGAAGTGCAGTTACCTGGTAAGCTCGTTTTCAGCTACTGAATTTAACGCAGATACAGGAGACTGGAAACTAGGTGATTTGATATATAAATATAAAATTGCTAATCATATCTCTGATATACATACACTAATTTATATTTATAAAGGTGAACTGTGAGGATTAGTCCTTAATTACTACTGTTACCTGGTATCGTTTCGTAAATGACACAGACAGGCTACACTACTGAATGACACCACCCAAAACACCGACTCAATTTTCTCAACTGAAATCACTTTTAGATCAATTATATTAGTAACAGAAAATCTGCATTGGTATCATACGAATCTTCTTAACAATATAATATTAATGGCTGTCTAATTTGACGCATTCCTTACCGTTTTTAAAGTACTAACATTAGCCATTGGACAACTAAGAACCACCAAGAACTGTTATTTTAGTTGCGTTCTTGCTTGAAAATATATCTATAATCACTCAAGATGACGTTTTCAGGTATTTAGTGGTCTATTTACACAGTTGTCATAGTTGGGACCTCATATCATATGCTGTTTTGTGGTTTTGCATGCAGCGTGCGTCTGACAGAAACCTGCCAGTATGTTCTTTATTTTAAATAGCATTTAATATAATATTTTGTATTCTTATGTCAGAAACAGCTTTATATGTTTCATTAAATGTTTATTTCTGCGTTTTATTTACAAAACAAAAAAATCAAAAACAGATTGACACTTTTGATCGATGTCATAAACGATGTCATACCGCGCCAAACATTACTGTTTTGTTTATAATTTTATATACATTCGAACTCTAACTTCCAAGACTATCACAATAAGTCATTCAATCAAGTTTCAAAAAATAATTTCTTAACTTTGAAAGACTAAAATTGTTACAATTGTCAAAATTAGGACTTTATATCACATACAGACTGTGCTGTGATTTTACATGCAGTGTGTGTCTGACAGAAAGCATCTAACATTTTCACTGTGTTAAACAGTATTTTACGGTATATTTTTATTTCACAAATAGATTTATAGTTTTTATTAAATGTTTATTTCTACGTTTTATTTACAAAAAAAACAAAAACAATGTTACTTCATAACACTTATAAATTGACACACTTTTGATTGTAAACAATGGCAATGCATGAGTTCCATCAACTGACTCAAAACTCTCCTCACACTAGCACCAGGCCACCAAGCCATCCGTACTCTTGAGTCCTGCATTTGAAAGACATAGGCTAAATTCTTCAAATATTCTTACATATGTTGTGTGTAAATGAGGCAGAAGGATCACAGTGTCTCTCTCTCCCCAGCATTGCCTGCAAGAATCTGCTTCCCTCCAGAATGGGGGTGAAGTTCAGAGTTCCGTTGCAGAAACTGCACCCGCTCTCCCGTGCCATCCATCACCGCTACTCTTCTAACAACAATCCACAGAGACCACCTCACTGTTCAGCTGCCCGCCATTACACGTCTCTCTCCAGGCTCCCCTTGCGTCCTCCCAAATCCCGGTCGGGAGGCCACGGCTATCAACAGCACCGGTCCTTCTGGGTGGCCCATCTTGCTGCCAGACTGCTGAAACTGAGGTACATCTTGCTGGGCTCAGCAGTTGGAGGTGGATATACAGCAAAAAAGGTATGCTTAAGTAGTTGGTTCTGTTGTGCGTATGAAATGACTGACCTCAAGGTCATTTTACTTGCAAATTCAGAGTCCACAATAAGGTTGAATCTGAATTTGAACACTTTGGGTGTACTATTTGTCCGTTTTCAAACAGGATGCAGTTATTTGACTTTCATTGCCACATGACATTTCATTTTATTGACCTATAGATTTAAAGTATCAGTTATCAAATCAGTTGTCAACAGAAAAATACTATTGTCTGTTGGTATCAGACAAAATGTTTATTAATGCACCACTAGTCAGTGCAGCCTGTCTGTTTTTTTTGTTTCCAGACTTACGATGAATGGAAGGATATGTTTCCTGACATGAGCCAATACACATGGATTGTGCCAGACTTTGTTTGGGAGCTGAGTGAAAATATTGATTTAGGTAAGTAATTTGTAGAGCCATATTTTGATCAGACCTGTTTAACAATATGCATATGCTACAGTTGAAAATTATTTGGTGTTGTTGACTTTCTAATGATATGCTGTGAATGTTATTTCTGTGTCCCTGAATAAAGACAATCTAGCCAGTGCTTTGCCTGAACTAGAAGAGATAGCCAAACTACTACCTGATATGGAAAAGATCGGAGAGAACTTCACCTTCCTAAAGAGCCTCCTCTCCAGTGGTAAGCAATGTCCTTTACACACACTTCATGATGGACACAAAGTAAATACAGGTGGATGATTTGGTTAAAGCTGCAGTCCTAATTATATTCCAGTTATAAATGTGCTTCTGATTACAGATAGCCTGGGATTACAAAAAATTGTATTTTAAAGAAAACCAGTTTGAAGGGATTAGAATGTTTCTGAAGGATCATGTGACACTGAAGACTGGAGTAATGGCTCCTTAAAAAGATGTATCTCAGGAATAAATTATTACAATTTAAATATTAATTGAAATAGAAGAGAGCTATTTTAAATTGTAATAATATTTCACAATATTACTATTTTTACTGT